AAAACAACCACAAAAACAAACAACAACAGCAACAACAACAAACAACCAAACACCCAACATCAATCAAATAAATCAAACAAAAAGAAAACAAACAAACAAATAAATCAACAAACAAAGCAACAAACAAACAAGCAAGCCGTACCTGTACATAAATCTCCGCCATTCGCCAGATGAAGTAATTACTCATCATCCGCTTTCGGTCTTCGTCCGGAAGTGACGTGATCATGCCGGTGATGTTCCGGTAGTAATCTCTTTGGAGAAGTACGACTCTAGTGTTGGCGTTGACCCCAGCGGCGTTGAACATGTATGAGAGCTGGTCCACCCAGTTGATCACGTTGTTCGTCTCAGTGTTCAGGTCGGCCAATGACACCTGGTGAAAGAACAAAATCTTTTTGAACAGAGCAAAACCACTATATATTTTATAACCTTTTAAAATATATCACAGCCTATTACTTTGCAGGCAGAAGACGAAGGTGCGATCCGCGTGAGGGTCGTAGCAGTCCTCCTCTTCAGTAATCATAATCCTAAAGATGAAAGTGGTCGCTTTTAAGGACAAGTGGGCTAACCCATAATTCGGGGGTTTCCAGAAATCTTAACCAACACCAAAATTTAAAGTGAGAATTGCCCTACCTATAGGAGAAGTTTGGTTTCATTGGTGTGTATATTTATTTGGTTTTGGAGAAAACTCTCCTCGTCTTTTAAAGAAACTGAGCAAGGGTCTTAAAACTTTATTTCGATTTTCTCAACTTAGCATTTTTTCGGGATAGCCCCCTTGTGCTTAAAAGCGACTAAATGTGAAATGGTAATCAACACTATTAGATTATTTAAGAGGTCGGGCATCCGAGTATATTGTCGGTCTTCGAAAAGACCGATCAAGGACACAACGTCAGATCGAACCGAGGCTTCTAAAGATGAAGGTTTAAAACATTTCCAACGACTATATAAATGCATGTTGTTTTTCTTTGCTAGTGGAAGTCTACATCGCTGTGAAGAGACGACATAGTATTCCAATTTTGGAACAAAAGCTTTTCAGCTTTTCTCATTCATCATGGAGATTCTCCAAGTCGAGTAAATCCAGCCCATATCAGCTACCTAACATTTTCACTGCCAGGCATGCTGCGGAGAACTCGAGACAGTCTCGGGAAAGGCAGTGAAGTAAAGTCTAGGTTTCCTTAAAATTATGTATTTTGTTTATCTAGTTGAATGACTACCAGATGGCCCACTCTTTAAAAAAAATCTCCCTCAATGATCAACATCTTTTACTACAGATGTAGCTGTCGGGGCTGATAATAGCTATTTATTTCTTTTAATAAAAGAAATATGTTTTACTTCTACTTTTTGTGTACAGTGTTCTCCAAAGAGGCAATCGCAAAACTAATAATGTTATAAACGTCTCAATAGACGCCGGTACGGTCCCTTTTGGTCTACTCACTTTGTTGGCCTCCAAATAGTGATTATACGAAAATTGCGACTGTCTCGCAATTGACGCAACATTATATTCAATCGTGAAAGTGTCATTGACGAACTGATCCAGCCGCCTCCCTTTCTCTTCGTCTGTCATGCTGGCGAGGTTGGCGTCTCTCTGGAGCAGTGACCCCACACGTCTGATGAACTTCTTGTAGTCCTGACGCATGTACTCTGCGTAAGGGTGGGTGTACCTGAGAATTAGGAAAGGTCAATTGTGAAAACTGTAAAAACTGTTAGATTTATTGCCCCTTTCAACACTGTAAGGTTAAGGTTATCTAAGAGGCAGAACCTCCGAATGTAAAGTCCAACTCCGATAGGACCAGATCCACCCCCCCTTGTCCCCTGCTGGTATATTTTGTTGACTGTGTGCGCACTGCAACACTATGGAATACCATAACAACTGGAGAGGCTCAGACAAAATTACAATGAGGGATCGAAATGCAGTGTCACCCATAATGGAAAGTTCCCTGGAGGTGCAGACTGAAGTGAAACAGAGATATTTACTAACACCATTCCTGTACTACTCATCATAAACTGGACAACGAAAAATCAACAACAAGGACATAAACATCAGAGACTACATTGGTCTCAGTTGGAGGATCTAGAGTTTCCCGATGATCTCGCAGTACTATCCCACAGTCACCACCACATTAAGGGAAAGACCCATGAACTGGTGAGGATTTCACAAAGCACAGGGCCCTAAGGTGCACCAATGAAAAACCAAAGCTCTATAGATCAATATAGGGGTGAAGGAAGACATTAAGATAACGAGGTGCCCATAGAGGAGGTAACCTCTTACACCTATCTAGAACGTGTCATAGATGACGCAGGAGGAACAGTCTCTGACGTCAAGACCATGAGTCGCAAGGGAGCATTGCAAGAGTTACAGCCTGTCTGGAGATTGGGAATCATCGAGTACGAAGATAAGGATTTTTTTTCAATACAAATGTAAAAACTGCGTACACACGTATGTTGTTGCATGGCTCGGAAACATGGAAACTAACAAAACAGATCGACAACAAATTACAGTCTGACATCAATATTTTCCTTAGTAAGATCTTGGAAATACACTGGCCGGACACCAGTAGAAATATTGCACAATGGTGGGGAACCTAACAACCAATTGATTTTGGGATAAAAAAGAAGATGGCGAATTGATTGGACACATTCTCGGGATGCCAGCCCACAACATGACAAGACAAAGCCTAAGATGGAGGAGAAAGAGAGGAAGGCCGAGGACCCCCAGGAAGCGAGATCTACATGAAGAAGCAGATCTCTTGCAGATGCGGTACAGCTGGCTGAAGGTGGAGAAGATCGCCCGAGACAGGCGGAGAGAGTGTCTTGGCACCCATACCCAATACCAGGGTGAAAAAGGTGAATAATGATGATGATGTGCATGTGTGTATCACTGTAATTATGTATGTGTATGTGTGTATGTGAAAACTTGTTTGTTGAATTTCCCCCAGACCCCCCCTCCCCCACGATCTCAAAGGTCGCTTGGCATCATTAAAACTATCAATCATTAAACATAATTTTTAAAAACCCACCAAGAACAACTCAAAAACATACAACCTAAAAATAAACTACTACTGGAAGTTAACGTTTCTTCACACCATACCTATGTTTTATACCAACAACTAACAGAACATTTAATAAAGATACGAAGTGCACAAATGATTACATCGCACAAAATAAAACACACGTAAACAGGCAGAGTCTGCACTCGCTCTTACCAGGACCAGTACATCCACTTTCCGGTTCCAGCAGGAGTCAGCTGGATGTCACGACGCGAGCTGTCTTGCCAGCTAACTCCGATCTGTACGAGAACAACCCCAAACAATAAATTAAACAAAAATGGAAGTGTCAACGTACTCCCCGATTGGGGTCATGGTATCTAGGTGGACCCCAAAAAGGTTGGATTGTGATTGGCTCGTTGAGCCAGCGGTAGTTTACATTGGTTACAATGCAGGGCTGCTAGGCCTACTCACTGATCATCTCGGGTAGTGATTGGATTTATCTTGTCTTACTATAATTATTTTATTTTAGCCTAGAGAGAGAGGGAGAGAGAGAGAGAGAGAGAGAGAGAGAGAGAGAGAGAGGATTTAATGATT